AAAATTTATTTTGTGTGGATTATTGGTGGTAGCGCTTAACCAGCACAACAACAGTGTGGCGCTGCTCATTAGAATTCTTCCCCATTTTATGTTCGGTATTGATTCTGTGTTACTGTGTACCCATATTAAAGAGGAGTGGAAAAAGAACATTAAGTTGAAAGGAAAGCAGTGGTGATAAAAGATTCCATAAAGGAATTATGTTGGACTTTAGGGTGGTCCTTGTACTGTATATAATAAGAAAACTTGAAATATTCCTGCCTGGCCCTTGCAAAGGCTTTCAAAGGTCACAAAATGACAATGCTAAATTTCATTAAGATATATTAATACACTATATTTAAAGGTTGTTAAGTCACTTGGATATTTCACCATTATAACACTGCTGTGAGTCATCACTTAATGGTCCCAACCCACAGCCTGGGTCACCCCCTCACAAATGTGGGTATTATCTGTTTAAAATGGGGGTATCATGTTGATCAGCCGCTCATTGTTGCCCAGTTAACAATCTCTTAAGGGCTTAGGAGATTGCCTTTTGTAGTCAGCAATGACTTGCAGCAGGTACTACAGTTGCTCTTCGTTCTTTATTATATGACTGGAATACAGTACAGGTACTCTTGTACAGGAGTTACACCCGTGCTCAGCGTGGTCATTCGTGACAGTCAATGTTTTTGCGATTTCTTTTGCTTGTTTATAACGTTCCTTACTGTCCCATTGAGATGCTGGGAGTTTTAGAGAGCCTTGTGGAATATTAATTTTTTCTCAGAATACTTGGTGTTTTTTGTCAAAGTGAGCCAGCGTCTTGTCTTTTATAACCTCTAAATCAGCTGTGGCTCGTTTAGGAGATTCCTCTTTTCCTTCAATCTTTGTCATGGCCTTCACCTGATGTTTCATGTCTGGGGCCATATCATCATTGAAGGAAGAGGCTTACCAATTCTTCTGACAGAACCAAATAGGTATGGTGAGCCAACTTTATAGAAGTTGCTTTTTGAAATTCCAACGTGGTCTTTTTTGTACAGTAATCAACAAGAGCCTTGAGCTGATTAAGATCGCTTTGTGGGGCTTTCGCAGCCTAATGAGGCTGTTGTCCAGGCCTTCACATAGATGCAGGCAAAGAAGATGCAAAGATTGAGAATTGCTGTTTCCTTCCGTTTATAAAGTTTGAACTGTGATCAAAGCATCCAAACTTTAAAAGTGTAAATGACCTTTACCATCCACCAGGCATAGTGCATTGCCCCAGGAGCTGTAAATCGTGTGCCACAAGCGGGTGCAGAGCCTAGAAACATTGATGTGAGCTCTAAAAGGTCCCTGTAGTCATCTCAGGGATGTTCTTCAATCAGTGCATTATGCACAAACTTAAACACGTTTTCCTTGGTGTCAGTACATCGGGCATTTATCACAATCAAAGGGTATGCAGACCATACTGAAGTGATGACTCGCAGCAGTGTTATAGGAGTGAAATTTCCAAGTCATTGTGCAACCTAAAAAAAAAGAAATAAAATAGAATATGTGCGTGCTCAGTAATGTCTCCGTTAGCCGGAATCCCTCGCTGATAGCCGGAATTGAAATTTTCTTGGAAAATCATTCCCCCAAGCTGGAATTTACCGGGGATATGGGAGTTTTTTCCAGGTTGAGAGATGATGTAAAGGGTATTTTCTGGAAATTCCGAGAAAATTTTTACGTTACCCAGAAAATTCCAGGGATGAGAGATATTTGTCCGGATTCGAGAGATGATGTAATGGGCATTTTCTGGAAATTCCGAGAAAATTTTTCCGTTACCCGAAAAATTCCAAGGATGAGGGATTTTTTACGGCTTTGAGAGAGTCGTCTCATTACCCGGAAATCTCTCATTCCCGGAAGTGCTCTGCACCAAGTGGTCCTTTGGTTAATGAATGGTTTGGTTAACAGTAAACATCAAGAAAATTGTGCTCTTTAATATTTGTGCAAAATGAGTACTGTACTAAAATTTTAGTCTCGTGCAAACTATTGCATGTTTACTGTACATTCAAATTAATATCTTATAAGAATTCCAGCAATGTAAATTATATTCTTCCCGGTCACTTCTATGAAATTTTATAAGCAAAAAAACAAAAACTCAATCTAAAGGATATAAATAAACAAATAAATACTTCACTAGACCTTCAGCGCTAACTGTCAAACATGTCACTGTCCCCCCCTCCCACACCTCCCTCCCTTAGCAAAGGTTTTGTGGTTATACAGTACAGTAGGCTTTAAGTTTTTATCTTATATAATATCTCAGACTAAAGTTAGAATATACTTTGCATTGCTGGAATCCTTGCAAGACAGCGAATAATTTGAATATAAACGTCATATTTTGCACAAGAGATAAAAATTGTAGTACAATTACAGTGGTCCCTCGGTTAATGAGATTTCGGTTAACGAGTTACCTTCCATAAGACTTAACTTCGGTTAACGAGCAATCCCTTGATTAACGAGTTTCTTACGAGCCGACCTGAACATGTTTTCGCTTGCATTTGGCGGTCCACCAGCTGTAGTATTAGTCCGCCAATACAGTAATCGGTTCTAAGGCTTAAATTCCTTACCATTTTAGCAAATATCAAGAAGTTTATACTATTCAATAATTTTAAAAGTTTAATATTAAATTTTTTATTATTTTAACAATTATTGAACATAATTGAAGGTAATGAAACTAGTTTTATGCACGCCATCCAGCCTCTCAACACACCATACAGGCGTCAGTCTTTGTGTCTTTTCAGTGGAGGTAACATCTTGCTTGACTCTCTAAAACTAAACGCTTTTTTCTGTGTTTGCAAGCAAATTATTGATCATTTTGAAATTTATTTTACATATTGACTATATATAATGCAGTGCAGTGTTAATTTAAAGAAAATAATCTTGAATTACACCAAGTGAACTTAAAATTTTATGGGTGAAATGGCGGCATGAAGCATGGGGTGACTTCTCTTTCACCCCCACTGCCTTCTCTTCTCCCTTCTCCTCCACCCCCACTTCTAATTCCCATCATCATCAACAACTAGGAGCCTTCTACATGCACACCTCAAAGTAAGTGTACTTTACTGCATTTATTTTTAGTTTGTATGTAATTTTCAGTGAGTTGGAACCAATTACCCAAAAACCCATTGAAACAATGGTTTCGGTTAACGAGTTTTTCGGTTAACGAGCAACCTTCTAGAATGGATTGTGCTCATTAACCGAGGGACCACTGTAGTGTACAGTAGGTATTACATATTATAATGTAAAGTTTTCAACTGTATTTTTGGGTAGATTTACATAAATTTGTTAATTTATTTACATCCATTTACATGCACACACCATACTAAAAGAAACATAACAGAAATAAATGACCTTAGTGCAAAGCTGGAGTGTACATGTACTAATTTGATTAAGGTACTAAAATTGTTATGTCTAGTGCAAATTATAGCTTGTTTATATTCAAATAAATCAATATCTTACAAGAATCCCAACAATGTTAATTATATTCACCCAGGTCATGTCACTGGCTTTTTATAAGAGAGAAGCTTAGTCACTTAAGAGCTGATAAATAAACACACATTAGACCTTGGGCGCCAACTGTCAAATGTATCACCCCCCCCCCCCATCTGCCCAGCCAGGGTTTTAGGCTTGCAGTTTTTATCTTATATAATATCTCAGACTAAAGTTAGAAGAATATAATTTGCATTGCTGGAATCCTTGCAAGACAGCCAATAATTTAAATAAAAACATAATTTATTTTGCACAAGAGATAAAAATCAATCACCTGTATCACATTACAGTAGTAATTTAAGAGTGTATATGTACTTACTGTACATATATAGTGATTTAAGGGTGATTTAGGGGAATTTTAGGAGTGTTTCTGACTTTATGCATTTTTGGCTTTACTTTGTATATACTTTTCTGTGAGCTGGAACCAATTACCCAATATCCCATTGAAATCATGGATTCGGTTAACGAACGACTGTGGGACGAATTGTGTTCGTTAACCGAGGGACCACTGAAAATATAATTTTATGAAACTTTGCACACTATTTTTGTGATAAATGGAAGCTTTTGTAAAGGTCAGATCTGAAAAAATCCAACTTCGAAAAATAAGGGCCACCCTATTGTTACGATTGGAGTTACCTCCTTAAAACTTGATGTTTTAAGCAGGTAACTCCGATTGCAATGCGTTTCTGATGCGTTATATTCAAGTATGTACATTTATTGTCATGTTACATCATGAATGATCATTGTACTGTATGTGTTTAAAACTGTTTATTTTCACTGATACTGTATAGCATACAGTATATGCTTGTATTACATTTTTTACCACACACACACACACACACACACAATCCTTGGGAATGCATCGCAAATTACAGTCATCCCTCCTCCAAAGCAGGGTTAGGTTCCTCGAAAATGGCGTGTTAGGGGAATCTGCGTTCAAGGAAGTTAATATTTAACGAGATTACTAAGAATTGGGGGGAACTCCACAGGATAATTCTCACCAGCTGACCCAGATGTGTGGCTGCCACTGTAACATACTGGCTGTGTGTATGCCATGAAGTCACATTGAGAGGGAGTGCAGCCACACAGTTACATATGGCCATAACCCACTACACCACTCATCACATTCACCCCCCCCACATACACTGTACACACCGATGCTCTTCATTTGTCTTACCTTATAGGTTTATATTATATTTTCTTTATTTCTAAGCCACATTAGATTATTGTAATGATTTTTCAAAACTTTTATAGTTGCATTACAAGTTACAATATACGAGGCTGGCGAGTTGGCCATGTAGTTATTAGCCATGGCCGTGGCTATAACCACCTCAACACACACTTACTTTAAACACATACACACCCATGCTCATAATTTTTCTTCTTTTATATTATATATTCTTTTTCTAAGCCACATTCAAGTATTGTAATGATTTTTCCACAACTTTTATAGTACCTGTATGTAGTACTGTATGTAATATTTATCGGTTTGTAATATTGTTTATTTATTTTTCTTGCAGGCCCATCGATGAGTTTTTAATTACATGTACTGATGAATTTGGTGGAAAGTACAGTGGTGATTCTTCTACAGCATGTGAAGGTTACCTCGGCAACAGTTTTTATAAACACGAACGTGAGTTAATGAAGTATTTACTTTAAGATCAATTCTAGAAATTGTCATGTATGAGGACATCATATTTGACAGCATATAGCCACATATACTCCCTTAGAAGTAGCATTCGGTAAGATTTTTTTTTTTCTTCAATCCAGAATGTGGCATCTAGTTTTATACAGGTTGACAACCCTTTATCCAAAATTCCGAAAACCGAAAATTTTTTTGTTGAGCATTTTTTATTTATTTATTTATTTTTTTTATGAGTATTAGCCCACCCAGGCACAGGTCACTGACCCACATCGGGGCCTGGGGGGTGAAAATGTAATAGTAATAATAATAATAATAATAATAATAATAATAATAATAATAATAATAATAATAATGATAATACAGTTGGTCCTCACATTAAGCGGTCCCGCAATCCGCGTTTCACCATTGCCGCGGTGCCTTGCCAGAACCTAACATTTTCACATTTCGCGGTCGCGAACGCCATTCCGCGGAGAGTGTCCGGCGCGACGCTATTTTTAGATTTGCGCCACCCGCCTGCCCGCCTGCCTGCCTCCGCTTGGGCAAGCGGCGCGGTAAGGTTGCGCAGTGTGTCTTTGTTGCGTTATCAATGACGTCATATGACGTACAAGACCTTTGATTGGCCATGCATCCCTACCCTCCTCTGCTGCTAGCTGTAATTGGCTTAAAGTATTATGACGTGTCCACCCGGGGGGAGGGAGGGAGGGAGGAAAGACGACGCTTGACCTAGCCGCGGCAGTTTCATCCCTCAAGGCCACACCGTGTAAACGTGCATCCATTGTTCCGTAAAATGGCTTCCGCCGGACCACCACCCCCAGAGAAAAACCTTTCCTTACCTGGACCCAGCGGCACTAAGCCAAAGAGGACACGACGTTCCTTAAGCTACGAGGTGAAGTACCAAATTATTCAAGATTTGGAGAAAGGAACACGGCAAGTTGATCTCGCGCGCCAGCATGGCGTCAACGAATCTACGATCTGGACTATAAAGAAGGATTCAGCCAAGATAAAGGAGCACATGAAGATCACAAAGTCTACAGGTGCTTCTATGATCAAGTATTTTCACAACCGGGTGCTTCTCAAGACAGAAAAATTACTTGTGAGGTACTTGGTGCGTCAGGCGCGACGCAACATGGCGGTCGACACGCGCTCTGTGAAGGACTACGCACGTGAACTGTACATGGCAGTGGCACGAAAGATGGGAACTTCAGAGCCCAAACCTTTACTGCTTCCTCTGGGTGGTTACAGAGGTTTAAGATCCGGAACAAGATCACCAATATAAACATTGGTGGTGAAGAAGCGAGTGCTGATCGTGCTGCGGCTCGGGAATTTCCTCCGTTTTTACGTGAGATTATGGAGGAAGGACAGTACACCGACGACCAGGTGTTTAACATGGACGAATCTGGTCTTTTCTGGAGAAAACTACCTTCCAAGTCCTGCATTGTGAAGAATGCCAGCAGGATTCGGGGCCGGAAAATGCAGAAGGAACGCATCACCGTCCTGTTTGCCACCAATGCCTCCGGTACCTGTAAGCTCAAGTTATCGGTGATCCACACAGCACGCAAGCCGCATGCCTACAAAACCATGGACATGACCAAGCTAAATGTCCACTGGCTGACAGCACGTAAGGCATGGATGTTCTCTACACTGTCCCTCTCCTGGTTTGATGACTGTTTTGTTCCCGATGTAAAAAAATTCTGTGAGCAACAGAATGTCCCATTTAATATTTTGTTGCTGCTGGACAACGCACCAGGACACTCGCCCCTACTGTTAGATCGTCACCCCAACGTAAAAGTGGTCTTCCTTCCTCCCAACACTACGTCTATATTACAGCCCATGGACCAGGAGTTGATTTGCAATGTGAAAGCTGCATTCTCAACAAAAAATTCCAGCTCCTGAACGACTACACCAACACCAGGGAAGAGTTGCGTGACCTGAGTGACACCACCACCGATAGCAAGAGCGACGAAGATGAGGAACAACGGTTAGAACAGCAAAAAATACTCTTCAAACAATTCTGGAGAATATTTAACATCAAGAAAGCTGTGGACATCTTGGTGGAGTCATGGGATCAGCTGTCTATTGCTACAATTCGTCACGCATGGAGACATGTGTTGCATGGAATACCAGGTGAGAGGAGGAGTCAATCTGTGACTGGTGAGGTTCAGAATGTTGCAGTAGCAGTGGACCTTGCCAGAGAAGCTGCGCAGACTGTTACAGTTCCAGGCTTCTCCGAGACCACCAACGACGACATCCTGGAGGTGATCAGAGATCCTGAAGTGACTGCCGACGAGATGATGGAAGAAGAACCCGTCAGTGAAGAGGAGGAAGAAGGTGCGTCAGTCTCCGAAGAACACAGTTTAAGTCAGTGATATTAAGTGTGCCATGGAGTTTGCAGAGAAAATTAAGTCCGTCCTTTCCCGCGACAATGACGATGACAGCTATGAAGTCTTCCATAACCGGCTGGTGCAGGCTATGGAGCCGTACATCACGGTGTATCACGACAACATCAACGCCAGCCGTCAGCAAAGCATAACAGATTTCTTCACCCGCAACCCACCACAGCCAGCCCAAGCCAGTGATAGTGGCAGTGAAGATGACTTTGAGGGATTTGTCAGGGAAGCCCTGACAACTGTAAGTGACAGTGATGATGATTCACCTAGTAATGGTGATTCACCTGAGGGCCAGTAATCTGCCCTCTGCCTCGGAACCAGTCTCCATCCCCGTATGCCGACCCATCTCTTCTACTACTGTAAGTGTTCCACAAAATTTTTAGTTTTTTAACCTATTCTTTATTTTTCCTATGTTAACCTTTATCTTTCCTAACCTAACCTCTTCTATATTACTTGTTTTTTCATACCATCATAAAGTTAAGATAAAATTTTTACTACAACATAGTTGTGTGTCGTCAAAAAGTGGAGTTTGGGGATCGGCCTGGACTCCATTTCAATTAATCCCATGTTATGTTATTCACTTTCCGCGTTCCTCACTTTCCGCGGGACCCTCTGGGTTACATTAACCGCGTAATGTGAGGACCAACTGTACAGTAATAATAATAATTAATCATAGTAAATAAAATTTTTATTAAAAAATACACAAAAATATAATAAGAATGATAACAACAACAATAATAATAATAATAATACTGTAATAATAATAATAATAATAATAATAAAGAAATACAAGAATGAAAAAAAGATCAAAAGTGAGAAACACGACCTAGACCTATGAATTATTATTATTATTATTATTATTATTATTATTATTATTATATTTTAGCCACCAGGCACCAATGTGGGTCAGTGACCTGTGCCCGGGTGGGCTGATCCCTGTTAAAAAAAAAAAATTATTCTGAAATCCGAAAAATTCCGAAAACCGAAATGCATCTGGTCCCAAGGATTTCGGATAAGGGATTGTCAACCTGTACCTAGGTATGTTAATGCCAAGCAATAACTCGCCAGGCCAACATACAGGCAATTAAAACATCTAATAATTACTTAATACATAATATTAGGAGGACACGGCGCTACCTGGCATTTAATTGCAATTCTCAAAACCCCCTCCCGCACCCTCCATCACACGCATTGCTACTGTCATCTTCTTCCCTGGGGAATCGGCTGTAAATACGCACAAAGAAGGCTCCTCTAATTTGTGTTGTAATAGCTGAAATACTAAGTGCCACAAGGATTTTATATTTGGTGTTTATACATCTTAGCACGGTGAGGATATCGATTATTTTTTATTTTGTTTGTCTCTCAAATATTGTGTTTGGGGCAATTTTTTATACGGTCTGGTCAAGCATGGCGACCATGGCTCATCTTCTATCTAGGAAGACAGCAGATCGTTAGTGACTAATATCCTCTGCTTTCAAGTCACTTGGTGAATGACGTTTTTCGCCCTTCCGGCCTTGTCTTCACTGGAAGAATATATATATAGATATATGTATATATATATATACTGTATTTATATTTTTTCCCCAATTTTACGCGTGCAAGTATGAATACCATGATATATGTGGCTATCCTTCTCCCTCTTCTTATGTTTGTTCGCAAAACCTTTCGGGCTACTGCCCTGGGTTTTCTAATTATTCTCAGCATGCAGGCCAGAGTTAAGTTTTTCTCTTCATAACTATTTTATTCGTGTCCTCAGTAGCAGGTTCAGCCTTTCCAGGCGAACTTTAGCGAGGCTGCTAGTCTTAGTGATCCTTCCAGATGCTGACCTTTCGGTCTTACTAGCAATCTAGAGTTATGTTGGGAAGGACCTTGTATCCTCAGTATGGGTTATATGAGAACCATTCAGGGTGGAATTCTCAAGCCAATGCATCTTGTTAGAGTAATGGTGAACGATGTTAGCCAATTGAGCGCTATGGTAGCAGCTCAGCACTTGTCAACCCTTCCGGGTGACTTGATGCTCACTCAGGCATTATCGCTCAACCTAATTAATTGAAGTGATGATGTCTGTGCAACCTGATTGGCAACAAATAGAGAACTTGGTGATCCCTCAAAATATAAGTGCTCTTAATGAAGTTAGCTTGATTAAGAAATAAAGTTCATTGAGCTGAGGGATAATTGAGATAAGGGAGAGGTGTATGATATAGTGAGTTAGTTCTTTATGATTGTCAAACTAGTGACTTATATAACAATGAAGATATATTAAATGAAATCACTTAATAAAATATCACAATTCGGAGTCATATTGATTACAATATGACTCATGGTGTTCCTCCTAGTTTAGATGAGTGATGTGCAACTGGAGGATGAAGGATAGTTGTCTGGACTGCTGGCTGATGGAGGAGACCATGGAACTGTCCCTGGGGAACTAGTGTTGAGTTAGGGGCGACAAGGACTTGGGAGTTCAGCATACACTACATACAAGGAAATGTCCATCAGTAGAGGATGTGAATTCAGTAGTAGTAGTTTCACCCAGGACCCAAGGGGACCATACTACATGTATTATCAAGGATGTAGGGCCACTTGGATTACCAAGTTAGATCC